GCTATACACCGACTCTAAACCTATATCGCGCGTGTACGTGCACACGGCCACGACCGCTTTGTTTATGCCGTACGAACACTTTCGGTGCCTTTTCTCTTCGCACCGTGTCACTCCATCTTTCTTCCGCCGCCACCGCCCCCTACCCTCCCCCTTCCTCTCCTCCTATACCGACGGGTTGAGGGTCATTCGTGCACTTAGGTGCACGCGGAATTCCGCCTCGAAGTCCTGGTACGTGAGAACTCGTCTTACACGGCTGTATATACCCTCCGCGACGTCCTTCTTTTTCGTTCGTGTGCTGCCGCTCCGGTGCACTCCGGACGATCGAAATTCGCGTTTTACTGCTCGACGATAGTTTCTTTTTTTTTTCTTCTTCTTCTTCTAAATCCAGCTCCAGCTAGAAGCATCGTTCGAACGGGACGAGGGGGGGGGGGCCCCCCGGTAGGGAGAGGTGGATCGACGGAAACGCGGACGTAAAAACCGCATCGCGACTAATATTTGCGCCGCGTTGATTAATGTCGTGGACGCTGAGCGGTACGTTATCGTCGTCGTCGATCGTTTTTTCATCCTTCGATCGAATTTACGGACAATATCTCCGCGACGATAGACGGTATCCGTGACGGAGCGGGGGGGAGAAATAACAGGGCGTTTATTGGTACAGTATCTCGTCCCAAGGAAATCGTGCGAGATAACTCTTGTGTATTTGAAGCTCCAATTGGACGGCCATATGAGTCGGCGATAATGGCACGCGGTTTACAGGCGTCTCGTTAAACGACGGGTTCACGGCTATTAACGTCATCCGCGGTATATCTATCGCGCTTTTCTCCTCGTCTTTTTGTTAACCGTGCGTATATATCAGCCACTTATATGTTGCTGCCTTGGGTATTTTTGCTGCCGCGGAAAAGATAAAATTAGCACGATCCGCTCTGTCACTTTGACTTTTTGTGATTGATAAACGCGTACGCGTATTAGACGGTGTCCGAAATTAGGACGGTTCCTCCATCGAGCCGTCGCCACGAACGCGATCGCAAAATGGTTTCGAATCAATTTTGCGTTCGAAACGATTTTTCGTCTGCGCGTGCGCGTACGCGTACGCGAGAATCCGTTCTCCGCGAAGATTCTTCCGTCGTATTCGCTTTCAGCGCGCGTCTTTTTATCCCGTCCTTCTCATCACTACCGATTCGTACGTTCCTGGATACCCCCACCGAACGGGGAGATGATCTCCCGCTTCCCTCTTTTTTTCCTCTCCCTCTCTATCCGTCCCTTCTCGCTATACTTGTACTTCCGGCCGCGAGGCTAGCGCGAAATTCTCGCAAAATAAACTGGAGGCACGGCTCCGTGGATAACTCCCCGTTCCCCTGCTCCTGCCCCCCCCCCCCTGCATCACCCTTCGACCCCGCCACCTATCGCGAACGTATTTTTAACTATCGACTCGTTACCGGCTGCTTCGCCTAAACTTCCTGCCACCGCCGTCAGGAGGAAGAACTACGTCGACGACGAAAACATCGGGAAACCCACTTGTTCGTTCCCGATCGACGGTTTCCGTCTTCCGGTCGTTCGAAAGCGTTAGAAGCGTTAGCTCTGTAAAGAATATATTTCGCCTGTTCTTTGACGCGGGACGTTAACAGTCTCGCGACGCGCCGCGTTAACCGGGTAAAATCCTGAGCGTGTAGCCGCGGCACGCACGTCGCGTCCCGTACGCGTAATTTCATCCAAGCGAGCTGTTTCTATCGCGCAAACGTGTTCGAGCGTCGATAGAAAATCGTCATAGCATCGCGCTTCTCGCTCTATCTCTATGCAGGAGACCGCGGGGGATGGGTGGGGGGGAGGGGGTTAGTTCTATGCGTCACGAAACAGTCACGCGTACGCGATGCATCGTCGTCTCTAGCGGTCTCCCTTCGCTATACGACGTCCGTGGTATAGGTCAGTGAAGTAGTAGCTCCCCCACCACGCGCCTCCTAGACAACGGGTCTACGATTGACTCATCTAGCCAGTCATACGGCGCGTAAACACGATCCGCTCCAGCTGTTTCTACCGCGCTCTTTTACTCTCGATCCTCGCGCCGTCTCTTTCCCGCTCGCGTTGGTCTATGTATACGGATCCTGAGAACAACGGGGCGTTCTCTTTATTTTTAGAGGCACCTCGAGAATTCGGTTCCCCCGCCGCCATATCCTCGTCTTTCCTCCCCGTCTTTTTGTCCGCCCGACGTTCGTATGTTTTTTTTTCCTCTTTTTTTTTTTTTGTTTTTTTATTTCTCCTCCGCTCTTTACCTTCCCTCTCCGACGCCGAGCTCGGAAGCAGAACAGCATCTCGAATAGAGAGAGGAATCGTTCAACCGCGCGCGCCTCCGCGGAACTACGGGGAACGACGTAGCGAAAGAGAGACGCGCCGGCGAGGGGATGGTCGGGGGGGGGGTGGGAGGGTAGAGAACGAGTTCCGATTTTAGCGCAGTCGCGGCGGCCTCCGAACGAGCGGCGCTATTATGCACTAGTAGCTTGATGGCGTCACCCGTGCAACCTTGGCTCGGGTCAGTCCTCTATCATACTGCAGCCAGAGTTCCCCTACCCTTTTGTTTTCCCTCTCCTTCTTCGTTGCTTTTTCCGTTCTCTCTTCTGCTCGACGCGCAATCCCCCGTCCCTCCACCCTCCTCGGCTCTCCTTCGCCGCCTCCTCATCCTCCTCCTCCTCCTACTCCTCTTTCTGCTGTTCCCTTCATTTGGCTCCGCTTAACCCTCTCCTCCGCGTCTCTTTACCCCGTCCGCCTCGCTTCTCCTCTTCGCGCACACACGCCACTGGCCACACGTCCAGTGGCGTACGAATACTTTCTATTTTGGGGCATCTTCCCGGGAGTTCCTTCTTTTCGCAGAAGCCCCGGTACGATTCCAACGACGAAATTTTAATCGCCGACGCGGACGCGCACCGCGCTTCATTTCGCCTGGAATGGCAACCGCCACCGGAAACTGTCGCCGGTCGCATTGTACGAATATCGGGGAAAAATTTAGGTGAAGCGTACGACGCTGTTTGAATCAACCGTCGGTCGCGATGGCCAGGAAAGAGAGTAGGCATCGAAACAATGCATTTGACCAACGGAATCGGTTGAAATACGATACACGGTCGCTTCCACTCGTAACTCGTGCACCGAAGAGAAAATCGATTTTAGGTTAGAAAAGTTAAATCGAACAAAGTTGTACGTTTCTACGATATTATTAAAGCTGAGGGTAAAAGGAACGTCCATGTTGTAAAATTGTTTAGTTTTTATTCGTTGTTCGGAATGTATCTCGTCCGTGACGATGACAGAGCGAAAGCACAATTCTGGGTCATAAATCGATTGAATCCGTGGACGTAGGAGTCTGTTCTAAAAAAACGCATTAATCCTCGTTACGCCCATGACCACGGGCCAGCGCTGCTGTCGTACGCTCGGATCGCGTATATTCGCATACCGTATGGGCGAGCTCGCACGCATAAGGGACGATTTCTGTGTAACGACGCGGCTAACCTTCCCGCCGCGAGACCGTAAACGATGTTTCCATCGTCCGTAGATCGCGTATACGATTCGACGGGTTATATACCTAGGCCTGGCCGCCCCGTGTATCGCCGGTGCAAGAAGCCATGGAATCGAGATCGATCGCAGAGGTTAGGGGGGAAAAAAAAGGTTATCGAGACGAAGCCGAGAGAGGCTGTCCCGAAGCATCAATCATCCTGTGACAGAAACGGCATAGCACCGGCAACGATGCTTCGTGGACAGCTATTAATAGTTCATTGCACGGTTAAGTACGATGTGTACTTAAGAGGCGCGGTGCGAAAACCTCGATAGACGCGGACTCGATGCCACGCAGCGAGTTGACGAGTACCAGGAGTCGATTCGAAGATTTATTTCTGTCGGAAGGATGATGCCCGAGCCGCAAACGATTTAAACGGATCCCCCTGTCTACGCGGATATAGGTTAGAAGGCCTAATTATTGCCATTCGAACCATCGACAGTCGCTCCTATCATTTTTGTACGAGTATTTTCTCTCGTCGGTATCGCGCATACAGACTCGTAGAATGATTCATAAATATTTGCATACGTAAATGCTAATCGCGTGGTTTTGCTTCAATCCACTTCACGAATTCTTGGAACGCTCTATAGAGAACACAGATCGTCGAGATACGGTGCGATCAGTCGTCCCGGATTATGGCGGGGAATCCCCTGAAATATGCGACCAATAGCTTGTACTTCGCGCAGTAGAATGGCGCCTCCTTTGATCAGACTTGTTAAGTAGACCAAATCGGATAGCAAACGAACTTGTAATAGCTTCGCGACGATCTAGAAAACAACTTTATATAGCGATTTGTATTTTCTTTTGCCCCTCTTTGTGCCACGGAGATGCAATTCTGTTTACCCCCTATGGGAACGGTATGTAAATTTATCGAGTGGTTAGAGATCGCATTTCCGGTGTTCGAGATTCTCGATTCGGAAGTACGCGCGAAAAGTGGAAAAAATAGAAAGCGAAACTTGTTTCGAGCATGGCGTGCATCGTCGATCGAAGCTGCTCGAAACGTTACAAAGAATCAAGCATGATCCGAATCCAATTAGCGTGGAATATCCACACGTTAAATTAACTTGGAATTAATACGCAGGTTGAAAAGGCTGGTACGCGTTGCACCCAATTTCGTTCTACCGTAGATAACGAAGTGCGCGTCAATTTCAATGGTAAAAAAATGTAATAACCCAGACTCGTACCGTAATTAATTCGATGATCTACATTACCCTTTGATGATAGTGTAGACGGTGGCGCCACTCAACGAAAATCGCGCGAACACGAGTCATCCGTGGACCCTCCATCTTGCAATCAAGTTTTAAATGCCTCGTGATCGGCGTTACGATACCGTAGAAAAGTATGATACATAGACCACGATGCTTGATCGACTCGATGGACTGGTATTCGCGTATGATAAAAAGACCAACACGTTCGATTAAAAATGCCCCCCATACTCAACGATGACCTTCGTTTCTGTTTACAGTGTCCGAGAGCTACAGCAGTTACGTGAATTCGATGTACGCGAGCGGGGGACAATTCGCTACCCCCTGCACCCCGAGCCCCCCGAGAGGACACGGCGGCGTCCCGACGAGCGTGATCCAAGCAGCCACCAGCTCGGTATCCGACGATCTGTACCTGCTTGAGTTGGGCTTCCCTCCGCGATCGAAGAAGAACAAGTTGAAGAAACCCCGTCAAGGTGACGGAGCAGCAGTGAAGAGGAAATCTCGCGAGGGCTCGACCACGTACCTATGGGAGTTTCTGTTAAAGTTGTTGCAAGACCGGGAGTACTGCCCACGGTACATCAAGTGGACGAATCGCGAACGGGGAGTGTTCAAGCTGGTCGACAGCAAGGCGGTGTCCCGTCTGTGGGGTCTGCACAAGAACAAGCCGGACATGAATTACGAGACCATGGGCCGTGCTCTGCGTTACTATTACCAGCGCGGCATTCTAGCGAAAGTCGACGGTCAGAGGTTGGTCTATCAGTTTGTGGACGTGCCGAAGGATATTATAGAAATCGACTGTACCGGCGCGTGAGACAGGGCTAGGCCCACGAGGGAGCAGCACGAGAGAGTTCGAGCCGTACGGGAAAAGAGTCGTTCGCGTATTCGCACAGCGATCGTTCGCAAGATGACACCGTCGAGCAGCTCTTCCTGCCACAACGTCCCGACTTGGCACACCCCTCAGACGATCTGAAAAAACCATACGCCCTCTCTCTGACTTCGTTTGTTCCTTGTATTATATATGTATACCTATAGAGATGTATATTAACGAAGTATGCGCGAGTACAGACGCTGCCGCGAGAGGATGAATGTTTGTTTTATCGACGCGTCGGTTGCGCCACGGTGCACGGGGCACGCCATTGTTGCCCGTGCGCCGCAAAATTTCGTCCTCTGGTCTTTCTATACATTATTATGTTTTTTGTTACTTTTTGACGATTGATACGTCGATAGTAATCGTACTAAGCTTTACAACGTTTATATATATAGAGAAGTATATATATATGTGTAAGTATATATATATGCGTTGAGCTCGTTCAAATTTGTACAAAATTTAGTTCTTAAAGGATAAAAGGGATGCTACGGCACAAGTGTTATTAAATGTATTTTAATCAAGAGAGAAAAAGATGAATCTAGTATGGACAAATTTACTTAAACGTAAAGTATAGTCGGAAGTATAGGCGAACAATTGTACATTCGAGAGCGCGATAAATTATTTATTGTATATTAGACGATTATATATGTTACCTAGAGAAAGAAAAATGAAAAAAGATGAAAATTGTTATGTAACGTGTCGACGAAAGGGAAATATGAGAAAAAGGGGAAACGAGACACACATACGTACACACACGCGACGTGGAAAGTTTTTAAAAATGACGAGGAAGAAGTTGAGGAAAAAAAAAGAAAAAAAAATGAAACATAATGAAACGAAATGAGGGCTGTGAAAAGATTCAGAAACGGATGAACGGATAGAGCGGAAACGAACGACGTTTAACAAAGTTTCGTGGAGCGAGCTCAGGGAGGGGTACACACACACACAATACACACACGGACACACGCGCGCACGTACACCACTCGTGAACACATACACACTATATTTTTTTAAATATAAGCGAAAAGGGCGACTCTTCTATTTGAGCTGAGGGTTCAACAACGTAAGGTGCTGGCTATACACACGAGGTCCAAGAATGTTATTTAGCAAGCTAGTGTTACTAATTCATAAAAAAAAAAAAAGATTATTGAAACAGACATTATATATCTCTGTATATATAAAATACACCTTTAGTATATATTATTGAATATTATATATATATTATATGAATATATATTGTATGTTATGTAGTAAATGGAGCGAGTTAATGTGTCTCTATGAGATTTTTCCGTCACGTCGGTGTTTTGAGGAAGTTGCGTGCAACCGTTCTACGTACGATGTCTCTGTTCCGTTACTACAAGAAACGAACCAACGTTTAGATGCATAATCGTTTCACTTTCCTTGTTTTTCGTCGTCTACACCCATACGGTCGAGATCGAACTTGTCATTTCGTCAATTCGAATCTCGCCCGCCCTGTAACGCACACTTTTATGCTCGTACGAGAACTCGTCATGCTCACAGGGATCAGAGACATCGTACCTTTAACCCATTTATGCCCAGAAAGAACGAGGACGATTCGGAACCGCTTGTAATCGATACAACGAGTCGCGAGTTAAAATCATTTTTGAAAATTTTATCCGCTCGACGGGAGTATTTTTTATCACGCGACCGATCCGCGCGTAAATGGGTTAAGTCGGTCCTGTCTACGGGCGAGGCTCCTCGACGCGGTTCCGTCTCCCCCCCCTGTTCGTTTGTTTGCGTTTGCGGTTACGTCGGGCACCGATTCGCGCGTCGGTGGTAACGGGGACACGAGTGCGGTAAAAAAAACTGTTTTTTTTTTTTTGCTATCGCGAGCGACTCCGGACAGGACTGTATTTCCGAGCGTAATGTGACCAGATCTGTGAAATTCCAATGTCGCACCAGCCGAAGCGTTACGAAGTACCAACAGAGTGGGACAACTACGAGCAATACTAATTCGGGTCAGCGTGCATGCGTCCAACTGCCAAATATTTAAAATCCGGGACACTTTACGGGTAAAATTTTAATCACAGGGCGGAGATAGCGTGAAACCCTGGACGTCTCTGGTCACATTATTCGAGCGTAGAGTTTAGCCTAACCCGGGCACGTGGGGCGTTCGAACGCGATAAGTTAGAGCGAAGTTTAATTTATTGTACGCCACCCCTCACCCCCCACACCCACTCCCCATCTCCGCCGCCCGAGAGGACGTGACGTGCGAGTGCAAGCGTATCCTGTAGATAATAAGTTTTTGTACATAAAAAAAAAGATGAAGATTCGTTGAGAACATACTTAGAAAGAACATTACGCTGGTTAACTGTTCGTAACTGTGGAGAGACGAGAGTAACGAGAGAGAGAGAGAGAGAGTGAGAGAGAGAGAAACGCCGGAGGGAAAGGATGAGAGGAGAATGGGAGAGTTTGCTCTCTGATCGCAGTTCTTTGATCACCTCAAAACGAATTTCGATGAAGAAAGGAAACACAGTGAATAATAATAATAATAATGATAAATAATAACAATATGAAAAAAAAAAAAGAAAACGATCAAGTGCTGCCAATAAATGCCTGTAAACGGTCCCTTGCATTTTCTGCCACTAAAAAGAGAAATGAAACATGTAAGCGTAAGCAAACAGAGCGCGTTGTTCGAATCAAGAGAAATGCGATGGGACGCCAGACATACCGATGATACAAAGCGAATTGCCTTCTCGTAATTAACAAAGACGTGTTGCCTTCTAACAAAGAAAACATATTAAAAAGAAAAAAAAGTTCTAGCAATTTGTATCGTAAAATACCATCGACTTTGTCCAGAGTACTTAAAAAGAAACCTCACACATCCCGTGTATATCCCCTTTGTCAGCATAGCGATTTTGTAACTTTTGTCAAGAGTAACGAAGAGGAAAAAAAAAAAAAACGTACGAAAAGTTTAAAAAAAAAAAAATATTCTGAAACATTTTTGGTACACAGAGACTTTTTTCATATCGCACTCTTTGCATACGCGTATCGGACGAAATAATATATATATTTAAATATATAGGATAAAAAATATGAGAGGGAGAGTTAGGAAATGAATATACATCAGAGTACAATGGACAAAAATAAAGCAAGTACCTATGAATAGTACCACTTCTATACACGATAACATCCACTTATAAACAATGAATAAGATGACACTGCAACAAGAAATCCTATTTTTAGGTGAATTAAATTTACATAATACATAACGATTGACTACGCTACAAGATATTTTAACAAATAAGACTTTACTGTAATAGGGATAAATCTATGATTATTTACCTGTAAAATAATACGAAGACACGATGGATTGACGTAAGGAACTCTAATGTAACGTTCTGTGATTCGTTGTTTGTAGGTGAAATTTAATAAAAGATTACTGTATCATATTCGATTCTGTCTTCACGTTCCCTGTCATCGTCGGAAATAAATCCAACTGAAATTCCCAACGAATTATATCTATGAGCTACGAGGAACGGACTTCATTCAAGAGTTAACAAAATTAATTCCTATGGAGAGTTTATTATAATATAAAATAGTCTATTACGTTTATAAATATTGTTTTCTTTAACTCGTGTAATTAGAATAATATATGAATCTATACTTAAAGAATTGGTTTGTATATAATGAAAAAAACTAAAATAAAAATTAGTCACGATGTATTTAAGTATCATCCACTTTTAGTAAGTACTTGTAGAGGTGATTACACTGCAGTGACGTAATGCTTATATATAAAAACGATTGATAAAGCCCGCGTCCTAAGATGAGACCGGATTGGCCTACCGTGAGATTAGTCGGCCAATCGCGTACGCGGATCCGATGGAAAGGTTTCATTGGCCCGCTATTCGTCGTATGGGCGTAGATAATCCCGCAGTCATTATTGAACCACGACGAACGAAAGTTGTCATTGTGCGTGTCAGATTGTAAAAAATTGTGCAAGGTGTACGTTGGTTTTTACATCGTTACGAGTGAAAATAATTGGAACAGCGGTTGTACAGATCGGTAATTGTTAGCGATAATTTAATAGACGTATCATCGAGGCTGTAACGGCTGGTTTTACAGAAATAATCGACTTTGCCACACCCTGTGGCCATTTTGGAGAGGAGTGATTGTTCCACGAATGCCGAACGGTAAATAACGTTCAAGATGGATCAGATCACGCCAAAGGAAGTGAAAATCTTGGAAAATCCTGAGGACATTCAGGAGAGGCGAGAACAGGTTCTGAGTCGGTATGCTAATTTCAAAGCGGAAGCGCGTAACAAGAGAGACAAACTCGAGGACTCCCGTCGCTTTCAGGTATAGTTTTTTCTAATCGTTCTTACGATTCGTGTAGCCGGTATCTGTTTTAACGAAATCCGTTGGTTCGTAGTATTTTAAGCGAGATGCGGACGAACTCGAAGGATGGATCTACGAGAAATTGCAAGCTGCCTCGGACGAAAGCTACAAGGACCCGACGAATCTTCAAGCGAAAATACAGAAACATCAGGCATTCGAAGCTGAAGTCGCCGCCCATTCCAATGCCATAGTGTCGCTTGACAACACCGGCTCAGAAATGATTGCACAGCATCATTTTGCTAGTGATGTCATTCGTAAAAGATTGGGTAAATACCATCCGGGGGACAACCTGGTTTTTTTTTCTATTTAATTTTTTAATAAAAACTTAAGGTTACCATGATTTTTGTAGAGGACCTGCATCGTCTGTGGGAGTTGTTGCTGGCTAGATTGGCCGATAAGGGTCTCAAACTTCAACAAGCCTTGGTTCTTGTACAATTTATCAGACACTGCGACGAAGTAATGTTCTGGATCCATGACAAAGAAGCGTTCGTAACGACCGACGAATTCGGACACGACCTGGAACACGTAGAAGTACTCCAGAGGAAGTTCGACGAGTTTCAGAAGGACATGGCCAGCCAGGAATACAGAGTGACCGAAGTGAACGAGCTAGCATACAAGCTTCTCTTGGACGGGCACCCGGAGCGCGATACTATTTTGCGCAGAAAAGAGGAACTCAACGAGTCCTGGCAGAGATTGAAACAGCTTGCTGTTTTGAGGCAGGAGAAACTGTTTGGCGCCCACGAGATCCAGAGATTTAACCGGGACGCGGACGAAACGATGGCTTGGATCGCCGAGAAGGACGTCGTTCTCTCCTCGGACGACTTTGGACGCGATCTCGCGAGCGTGCAAACGTTACAGAGGAAACACGAGGGCATAGAACGGGACTTGGCGGCTCTGGAGGATAAGGTGTACACCCTGGGAGCCGAGGCGGATCGTCTGGCAGCTATTCACCAGGCAGACCATTCGAAACAGATTCAAGCGAAACGCGCGGAGATCTTGCAATCGTGGGAGAGTTTAACGGCAAAGGCAAAGGAACGACGCCTGAAGCTCGACGAGTCTTACTATTTGCACAGATTCTTAGCCGACTATAGAGACCTGGTCTCGTGGATGAACGATATGCGCGCGATTATATCGGCGGACGAATTGGCTAAGGACGTAGCCGGCGCGGAGGCCTTAGTTGAGAGGCATCAGGAACACAAGGGGGAAATCGACGCCAGGGCGGACAGCTTCGACTCGACCACCTTGGCTGGCAACAAACTCCTGGAAAAGAAACACTACGCCGCGGAGGAGGTGGCTCGAAAGTTGAATTCCCTCGCGGAGGACAAACAGTCTCTCCTGAGTCTCTGGGAGAAGAGAAGGATCTTGTACGAACAGTGCATGGACTTGCAGCTGTTCTATCGAGACACGGAACAGGCGGACGCGTGGATGGCCAAACAAGAAGCGTTCTTGGCGAACGAGGACCTAGGGGACTCGCTCGACAGCGTGGAAGCTCTCATCAAGAAGCACGAGGACTTCGACAAGTCTCTGGCTGCCCAAGAGGAGAAGATCAACGTGCTGGACGAGTTCGCCGGGAAACTGATCGAGGGTGAACATTACGCGGCGGACGACGTGGCTCAGAGACGTCAGTTCCTGTTGGAGAGGCGCGCCGTGCTTCTGGAGAAGTCTGCACAGAGAAGACGTCGTTTGGAAGACGCATACAAATTGCAGCAGTTCGAGCGCGACTGCGACGAGACGAAGGGCTGGGTGAACGAGAAATTGAAATTCGCCACCGACGACAGCTACTTGGATCCCACCAATCTGAACGGCAAGGTGCAGAAGCACCAGAACTTCGAGCAAGAATTGAATGCAAATAGAACTCGCATGGAGGAGATGGTGGCGACCGGTCGGGAGCTGATAGAGAGCGACCACTACGCCAGCGATCGAATTCGTACTCGTACAGATGAGATCATGAGGCTGTGGGATTGCCTCACCCACGCCACCGAGAAGAAGGGTGCAAAGCTGCAAGAAGCCTCTCAGCAACAGCAGTTCAATCGTACCGTCGAGGACATTGAACTGTGGCTGTCGGAGGTCGAGGGACAGTTGATGTCTGAAGACTACGGCAAAGATCTGACCAGCGTGCAGAACCTGCAGAAGAAGCACGCCCTCCTCGAGGCTGACGTCGCGTCCCACTCGGACCGGATCGAGGGCATCACCCAAGCCGCGGAGCAGTTCGTCAAGTCGGGCCACTTCGACGCGAACAACATCAAAGTGAAGCAGGACCAGCTGCACTCTAGGTACGCCGCCCTCCAACGACCGATGAGCATCCGGAAGCAACGGCTCCTCGACTCCCTGCAGGTGCAGCAGCTGTTCAGGGACATTGAGGACGAGGAGGCCTGGATCCGCGAGAAGGAGCCGGTGGCTGCGTCCACCAACCGTGGCCGTGACCTGATCGGCGTGCAGAACCTGCAGAAGAAACACCAGGCGGTCCTGGCGGAGATAAACAACCACGAGCCCCGGGTGGCTGCTGTCTGCCAGGCGGGAGCCACCATGTTGGAGGAGAACCACTTCGCCGCTGAGGAGATCAGTCAACGTTTGGCCGCGTTGGACGAGCACTGGGGACAGCTGAAGGAGAAGGCTCGTCAGCGCAAGAATGACCTGGACGATTCCCTCCAGGCGCATCAGTACTTCGCGGACGCGAACGAGGCGGAGTCATGGATGAAGGAGAAGAGACCGATCGTGATGAACGCAGATTATGGCAAGGACGAGGACAGCTCGGAGGCTCTGTTGAAGAAACACGAGGCGTTGGTCAGCGACCTGGAGGCGTTTGCTAGCACTATAGCCGCGCTCAGGGACCAGGCTGCCTCCTGTCGCCAGCAAGAGACGCCTACCATCGACATCACCGGCAAGGAATGCGTAGTAGCTCTGTACGATTACACGGAAAAGTCACCGCGCGAGGTGTCCATGAAGAAGGGCGACACGCTCACGCTCCTGAACTCCAACAACAAGGACTGGTGGAAGGTGGAGGTGAACGACCGTCAGGGTTTCGTTCCAGCCGCCTACGTGAAGCGTGTGGAGCCTGAAGCTGGCCTCAGCGCGTCTCAGCAGAACCTGGCCAGGGAGCAGAGCTCCATAGCTGCCAGACAGTCGCAGATCGAGGGTCAGTACGACGATCTTCTGAGACTGGCTCGCGAACGACAGAACAAGCTCAACGAAACAGCCAAGGCTTATGTGCTGGTGAGAGAGGCTGCAGAGCTGGCCACCTGGATCAAGGACAAGGAGAATCACGCTCAGGTTCAGGACGTTGGCGAGGACCTGGAACAGGTGGAGGTGATGCAGAAGAAGTTCGACGACTTCCAGGCTGATCTGAAGGCCAACGAGGTACGGCTGGCGGAGATGAACGAGATCGCCGTGCAGTTGATGAGCCTGGGACAGACGGAGGCTGCCCTCAAGATCCAGACGCAGATACAGGACCTGAACGAGAAATGGACCAGTCTGCAGACTCTCACCGCCGAAAGGGCTAATCAGCTAGGCTCAGCTCACGAGGTTCAGCGGTTCCACCGTGACGTAGACGAGACCAAGGATTGGATCCGCGAGAAGGACGCGGCTCTGAACAACGACGACCTTGGGAAGGATCTGCGCAGCGTGCAGGCCCTGCAGCGCAAGCACGAGGGTCTCGAGAGGGACTTGGCCGCCCTCGGGGACAAGATAAAGCAGCTGGACGAAACCGCCAATCGACTGATGCAGTCGCATCCGGAGACCGCCGAGCAGACGTACGCCAAGCAGAAAGAGATCAACGAAGAGTGGACTCAGTTGACGGCAAAAGCAAACAGCAGAAAGGAGAAGTTGCTAGACTCCTACGACTTGCAACGATTCCTCAGCGATTATCGGGACCTGATGGCTTGGATCAATTCAATGATGGGTCTAGTTGCTTCGGAGGAGCTGGCTTCCGACGTCACCGGCGCGGAAGCTTTGCTCGAACGTCATCAGGTGGGTCTCGAGCAGTACTTCAGTTGATCTTTATTACTGATAATCGTCCAATGGTCACACCGGTCGTTCACGAGTAATTTGAATTATAGAATCACAGAGCAGAGATAGACGCGCGATACGGCGTACTCCAGGAGGTATCGGAAAGTGTTTGAGCATGAAACGAAATACGTATTCTTACGATTAATCACTTGGTATAATTTTTGTTGTTGTTGTTGGTGAACCTTTTGTTTCATGGAAGAGAGGAGAGATTTGGCAGGTCGATGTTTTGTAACGAAGACACCGCCTATTAACACCTTTTGAACATTTTATACGTATTATATTTTCAATGCTTCTTATAGTGTAATCGCTGCCTTTTTCTACCGCTTATCGTAGTGTCTATGGTCGAGTGGATTGATACGTATGCAACATCATGCGTGTGAATTTATATAAAGGTACTCGAAATGGTGCGTTGAAGTCTCGCTGTTCTGTTGCAGGAGCATCGAATGGAGATCGACGCCAGAGCTGGCACCTTCCAAGCGTTCGAGCTGTTCGGGCAACAGCTGCTGCAGTCCAGTCATTACGCTAGCGTTGAGATTCAGGAGAAGCTCGAGTCCATGGCGGAGGCTAGACAGGAGCTGGAGAAAGCGTGGGTGCAACGACGCATGCAACTCGACCAGAATCTGGAGCTGCAACTGTTCTGCAGAGACTGCGAGCAAGCTGAGAATTGGATGAGCGCTCGCGAGGCGTTCCTCAGCAGCGCTGACACCGTGGACAGCAGCGACAACGTAGAGGCTCTCATCAAGAAGCACGAGGACTTCGACAAAGCGATCAACGCCCACGAGGAGAAGATCGCCACGTTGCAGACGCTGGCTGACCAGCTCATAGCAGCAGAGCACTACGCCGCTAAACCGATCGACGAGAGGCGTTGTCAGGTGCTGGACCGCTGGAAGCATCTCAAGGATGCCCTCATCGAGAAACGTTCCAAGCTGGGCGAGTCCCAGACCCTCCAGCAATTCTCTCGCGACGCCGACGAGATGGAGAACTGGATCGCCGAGAAACTCCAGCTGGCCACCGAGGAGAACTACAAGGACCCGGCGAACATACAGTCCAAGCACCAGAAACACCAAGCGTTCGAGGCAGAGCTGGCAGCGAACGCTGATAGGATTCAGTCGGTGTTAGCAATGGGAGGTAATTTGATAGAGAAACATCAATGCGCCGGTTCTGAGGACGCTGTTCAGAAGAGGCTGGCGTCGATCGCCGACCAGTGGGAGTACCTCACGCAGAAGACCACCGAGAAATCGATGAAGCTCAAGGAGGCGAACAAGCAACGCACCTACATAGCCGCGGTGAAGGATCTGGACTTTTGGTTGGGCGAGGTGGAAAGCTTGCTCACTTCCGAGGACGCGGGCAAGGACCTGGCCTCTGTGCAGAACCTGATGAAGAAGCATCAGTTGGTGCAGGCCGATATCCAGGCGCACGATGATAGGATCAAGGACATGAACGCGCAGGCGGACTCTCTGATCGAGAGCGGGCAATTCGACGCGGCTGGCATCCAAGAGAAACGACAGAGCATCAACGAACGTTACGAGAGGATCATCAACCTGGCAGCTCACAGACAGGCAAGGCTGAACGAGGCGAACACGCTGCATCAGTTCTTCAGGGACATAGCAGATGAAGAGTCGTGGATCAAGGAGAAGAAGCTGTTGGTCGGCTCGGACGATTACGGTCGCGATCTGACCGGCGTTCAGAACCTGAAGAAGAAGCACAAGAGGCTGGAGGCGGAGTTGGGTAGCCACGAGCCTGCCATACAGGCGGTCCAAGAGGCCGGGGAGAAGCTGATGGATGTGTCGAACTTCAGCGTACCTGAAATCGAGCAACGTCTGAAGTTGCTTAACCAGGCGTGGGCGGAGCTCAAGCAGCTGGCCGCTAACAGAGGCCAGAAGCTGGACGAGTCGCTCACGTATCAGCAGTTCCTGGCCAAGGTCGAGGAAGAGGAGGCATGGATCACGGAGAAGCAACAGTTGCTCTCGGTGGAGGACTATGGGGACACTATGGCCGCGGTGCAAGGCTTGCTGAAGAAGCACGACGCGTTCGAGACCGATTTCGCGGTGCACGGGGACCGTTGCAAGGACATCTGCGAGGCCGGCGAGGCTCTGATCAAAGCTGGCAACCACCGCGCGGACGCCATTGGTCAGAGATGCGCCCAGCTGCGCAACAAACTGGAACAACTTGGCGCCCTGGCCGGCAGAAGGAAGATCAGGCTCAACGACAATTCCGCCTACCTGCAGTTCATGTGGAAAGCGGACGTGGTCGAGTCGTGGATCGCCGACAAGGAGACCCACGTGCGCTCTGAGGAGTTTGGACGAGACTTGTCCACCGTTCAGACGCTGCTCACCAAGCAGGAGACCTTCGACGCGGGTCTCCACGCGTTCGAGCACGAGGGAATTCAGAATATCACGTCACTGAAAGAGATGCTGGTTGATTCCGGACACAATCAGACACCCAGTATTCAGAAACGTCACGCGGACGTGATCGCAAGATGGCAGAAGCTTCTCGCCGACTCCGACGCGAGGAAGCAACGTTTGCTGAGGATGCAGGACCAGTTCAGGCAGATCGAGGAACTGTACCTGACGTTCGCCAAGAAGGCGTCCGCTTTCAATTCGTGGTTCGAGAACGCGGAGGAGGATCTGACCGATCCGGTTCGTTGCAACAGTATCGAGGAGATCAGAGCGCTCAGAGAGGCTCACGCGCAATTCCAAGCTAGCTTGTCCTCGGCTGAGGCGGACTTTGACGCTCTCGCGGCTCTGGACAGACAGATCAAGAGCTTCAACGTAGGCCCCAACCCGTACACTTGGTTCACGATGGAGGCGTTGGAGGACACGTGGCGTAATTTGCAGAAAATAATCAAAGAACGAGACGTGGAACTCGCGAAGGAGGCACAACGACAAGAAGAGAACGACAAACTGCGTAAAGAGTTTGCCAAGCACGCTAACGCATTCCATCAGTGGTTGGCAGAGACAAGGTATATGATAGCTTCGAACTTGTATAAATTAGTTTAGTTACTTTGATCTTGTTGATCGTCTTATGTTTCTAACTATTTTTTCATGGTCACAGGACATCTATGATGGAAGGGTCAGGGTCGTTGGAACAGCAACTGGAAGCTACAAAGGTAAGGCTAACTAAACCTTACGTTATGTCATTATTGGTACTTCTAGAAATTAGATTCTACTCTCATGTATTTCTTCTTCAGAGGAAAACTCAAGAGGTTCGTGCGCGTCGCCAAGACTTGAAGAAGATCGAAGATCTGGGCGCGATTTTGGAGGAGCATTTAATTCTAGATAATCGTTACACGGAACACAGTACCGTGGGATTGGCGCAACAGTGGGATCAGTTGGATCAGCTGGGAATGCGTATGCAGCACAACTTGGAACAGCAGATACAGGCGCGTAACCAGTCAGGTGTTTCCGAGGATGCGCTGAAAGAGTTCTCCATGATGTTCAAACACTTCGACAAAGACAAGAGCGGGCGTCTTAATCACCAAGAGTTCAAATCGTGTTTAAGAGCGCTTGGGTACGATCTACCGATGGTGGAGGAGGGTCAGCCTGACCCGGAATTCGAAAACATTCTAGGTTTGTCATCCCATTTAGTCTCCAATTGAAGTTCGTGGATCAAAGTGTAAAGGATAATCGCTGAGAATTCTAAACTTCGTTTATTCGTTTTAGATATCGTTGATCCAAATAGAGATGGTTACGTATCGTTGCAAGAGTACATGGCATTCATGATCAGCAAGGAGACCGAAAACGTGCAGAGTTCCGAAGAAATAGAAAACGCTTTCCGCGCCATCACTGCCGCTGATCGGCCATACGTTACGAAAGAGGAACTATACGCTGTGAGTATATATTTTTAAATAGTTCTTTAAATATTTATTGACATCGTGTCGTTAATTTTTAGAACCTTACGAAGGAGATGGCCGATTACTGCGTCGCCCGCATGAAACCCTACGTAGACCCGAAGACAGAACGACCGATCACGGGAGCATTGGATTATATCGAATTCACTCGAACCCTTTTCCAAAATTAATTACAATTCCATAAATTATTCAATTTTTAATATAGGACTTATTAAATTATAGGAGCAAAAACGTGAGATACGATACTTGTTTTATTAAAGACCTCGCTACTTTAACTAGATGCATATATATATAATATATTATTCAACGTTGAACATGTTTTTATTTTATAGCACGTATCGCATGATTGTCCCCGTAATCTTTGTATCGATATATACAGCATTTATGAACAATCTTTAAAAATAAATTATTCATTTTACATAGAAACTTTATGCGGTACCAAATCAACAAACACTATATTGTTTCTTAAAAAAAGTTTATTTGCAATTATTCGAGTTACAATTTATAGTCAAATATACACAATGAAACGATCCTCCTTAAATTTAAAATAATTATACAGTTTTGAATTTTATTTTACTATCTAGCTGTACTTTTAGTAGACTTCGATACAAATCTGTTTAACACTCCATAATCTCTTTTAGGTTCTTCCTGTTTCTTCTCATCTGGCCGTATGCCTGTCTGGCGTACATTCTCGAAGGTTTCCTGAAACAATTAATTTTTAATATTTCCATTCTGCGTATAATCGCAATTTATTGATATTTACCCTTCGACTTAAATCCTTGAGAATCTGTTTAGTTTTAATTACTTTGGCAGTGCCTCCCTTTCCTTTGGCTTTCGTTCTACGCGGTTTAAAGTCTATATCTTTTGGCTTAACGTGCTGCAAATAGATTACAATTGCATTATACAATACCAATAGTCAGAATAATTTAACTTCAACTGATACTCACGATAAGTTTCTTCTGCGCCTCGATTCTGTCTCTCAAAGTAGGAACATCTACTTCTACTATGGCAACCGGGTCCAAAGTAATTAATTCCGGCTGAATTTTGTCTAGCAGAGCCTTCACCTCGTTCTCGCGTCTCTGGCTCTTAGTCTGGAACGGATTGCTTTCCAGAGCGTCGTAGTTAGCTTCCCCGCTTCCGGGTACCAAGAGAGACGATACTCCTCTTGTTGTACCAATACCCAAGACATCCTCGTATGGACAAAACTGCATACTCGTTACAGTCCAGTCAGCCTTGTGCCTCAAGTATGGTTTCATTTCATCCGCGCCGGGTCTAATCAACAAGAATTAAAATTCATCGAAACTACAGCCGATTCCCGTGTAACTCGAGTCGTACAAAGCGTCATTTACCGATAAATTTCTACCAAATTCCCCATGGACATCGCCAACTGACCACACTGGCTGTAAGATAAGTGTTGAACAGGGGAATTTGTACGATAATTGTGCACAGGGCCTGCCAACTGCCTGATATCCCACACCTTCACAAACCTAGCTGGGCAGCTAGTTGCCATGTAAGTTCCATACGGATGGACAGCACAAGCAGTTATGGCTTGAGTGTGGCATAACATTTTTGCTAATGGTTCTCTGCTATTTGGAGACCACATAGAGACTACACCTTGCGCACTACCCGTGCATAATAAAGCATTACTTGGATTTTGAGTCATTACCTGCCCAACAAGCAATTATTTTATTCCTTGTAAGAGAACATTAAATATTTTTATACTCACTGCTATGTTTCCTGATTTAGTATTGTAAGATGTTACAAATTTCCCTATAGAGACATCCAGCCAGGCCAAATAACCATCCCTAGATGCACTGGTAAGCAGAAAGTGATAAGGTAAGAACTCCAGCTTATTAATTTTATTCATAGCTTTCAAACAATGGATTTCAATCCCTTGGTTGTCGTATATATACACCCAGTCTTTCTGTGCAACGGCAAACATTGTTTCTAGATGCAGCCATGCCACATCATGGACCGATTCCATTACATTCATTTCACATGCCAATCTTTTTGTCACCCAATCCAAAGCAGCTACATGTCCTTTCCTTCCACCGAGAACCAAGTGTCTACCGTTTCTGGTATATCTTATAGAGTAAGGACCGAATTCTAAGTTCAGTGTAAAGTGCTTGGCTGCACTGGTTATGTCCACACTATCTGCAATTTGTTTCTGCTTGAAACGCGTTGTTACTTCTCCGGGATCGGCTTCCAAACAACCGTAATCTCCCGTTAAAAGCACTTCTGCACGTGCAGTTTCCTCCACAGTACGATTTATAACATTCTCTTTGGTCTTTAACTTCCGTCTTATCACTTGGCTCTGTATCCTAGATGTTTTCTTTCTCAAATCAATTCCCTCGCCTTTGCCATGTTTTCTTAATATTTCTTCGCTGACAGGTGGACGATCGCGAAATCTGTTCCCTGTAAACATTATGTTATTACAAAACGGTTACCTTATAAAATATGCCGAACAAGAACGCAACGAGGGTAGAGATAATAATAGCGTTTAAAGTATCTATGTAATTTAGAAAGTACTTCTAGGTGCCATTGCGTCTCGGTGATTGTAACTGCAACAATTATGACATTGTTTTACAGAAAGTAAATGTTTCACTGTATTCCCTCGGTTTCGATCGAAAACACGTGCAAGGCAGACATGCCAGACGGAGCCCCGGGTGCACCGCGGACACCTCGTTCCACTTTCTCACACTATGCCAGATCACGCGTACGCGAGCTCGCAGAGTTTCGGACAGTCGACAAAGGCAAACTGACGCATGCCCTCTCTCTCGATTCTCCGAAGATGCCCGAAGTAATTTCGGACCGTCTCGTGGGAATCGAGAGCGGAAGGCTCATTCGCCTTCTGGCACTTGAACAACTAACATTCGACCTCACGTCGACGGCATACGATTCCAAGTCTCGACTGCCCAGCCTCTGTTGGCCTCTCCTAACCTCCGCTTATATTTCTGACGACGTATAACGATTACTACTGAATTCTGCCTGCCTCCGCCGGCCTTTCCTGACCGCTGCTGACCGTTCCTCATACTTCTAACAACGTATGACGATTACAACTTGCTACTAATTGCCCCTGCTGGTCTCTGCTTGCCACTGCTTGCCACTGCTGGCATCCACTGGCCCCCGCTGACCTCCGCTGGCCTCTGCTGACCGCTGCTGACCACTCCTAATACTTCTGACAAGGTATAACAATTACTACGTGTTACTGCTTGCTCCTGCTGGCCTCTACATGCCTCTACATACTTCTACATGTCTTTACATGCCCTTGCTGGTGTCTGCTGGCCTCTGCCTGCCTCCGCTCGCCTTTGATGACCGCTGCTGACCACTCCTGATACTTCTGACAACGTATAACGATTACCATGTGTTACTGCTTGCCCCTGCTGGTCTCTACATGCCTCTACATGCCTCTGCTGTCCCCTGCTGATCCCTAATGACCCCTGCTGGCCCCTACTGGCCCCTACTGGCCCCTACTGGCCCCTACTGGCCCCTACTGGCCCCTACTGACCCCTACTGACCCCTGCTGACCACTGCTGACCCTTGTTAACAACTTCTCCCATGATATATATGTATTAAAACATTGTATAATGTAAATCTATGGCAATAAATGATATAATTACAAAGAATTCTATGTGTTCTCATCATTTTTTACCTTTCCTTCCATCTCCAAGTCATTACCTTAGTTATAAGACTCCCTGCAACTCCCTGGTTTCCCTGAACCCACTAGGAAGTCCTGAAACTCAGAACTTTGCTAAAAATTCAGAGTTTCCAAGAATTTTCGGCGTTTCCAAGAAATTCCAGGACTTCCCAGCTGTTTCAGGACTTTCCAGCTGTTTCAGGACCTTCCAAAAGTTGTTTCAGGACTTTCCAGCTGTTTCAGGACCTCCAAAGTTGTTTCAGGACTTCCCAAAAGTTGTTTCAGGACTTCCCAGCTGTTTCAGGACTTTCCAGCTGTTCCAGGACCTTCCAAAAGTTGTTTCAGGACTTCCCAAACGTTGTTTCAGGACTTTCCAGCTGTTTCAGGACTTCCCAAAGTTGTTTCAGGGATTTACAAAAGTTGTTTCAGGACTTTCCAGCTGTTTCAGGACGTCCCAAAGGTTGTTTCAGGCTTTCCAGCTGTTTCAGGACATCCCAAAGTTGTTTCAGGACTTTCCAGCTGTTTCAGGACTTCCAAAGTTGTTTCAGGACTTCCCAAAGGTTGTTTCAGGCTTTCCAGCTGTTTCAGGACTTCCCAAAGGTTGTTTCAGGCTTTCCAGCTGTTTCAGGACATTCCAATTGTTTCAGGACTTTTTGACGAAAAATTTAAACGGGACCCCCCTCAAATCTTTTCGAGGAACTTAGAAATTTTTCGAGCGAATAAATGAATAAGTATCGTTTTATATGGGAAGAGGTGGCAGGTATCTTAATAACTATGGGAATGCTTTGGAGAGGTAAAGAAAGGTAAGAATGACGAGAAGACATAGAATTCTTTGAAATTATAACATTTATTGCCATAGATTTACATTATACAAGGCATTATACATATACATCATATCAGAAGTTATTAACAAAGGTCAGCGTTGGTCAGCAGTGGTCAGCAGGGGGCAGCAGGGGGCAGCAAGGGACAACAGGGGCATGTAGATGCACGTAGAGGCATGTAGAGACCAGCAGGAGCAAGCAGTAACACATAGTAATCGTTATACGTTGTCGGAAGTATGAGGAGTGGTCAGCAGTGGTCAGCAGGGGGCAGCAGGGGTCAGCAAGGGACAACAGGGGCATGTAGATGCACGTAGAGGCATGTAGAGACCAGCAGAAGCAAGCAGTAACACATAGTAATCGTTATACGTTGTCGGAAGTATGAGGAGTGGTCAGCAGCGGTCAGCAAGGGACAACAGGGGCATGTAGATGCATGTAGAGGCATGTAGAGACCAGCAGGAGCAAGCAGTAACACATAGTAATCGTTATACGTTGTCGGAAGTATGAAGAGTGGTCAGCAGTGGTCAGCAGGGGTCAGCAAGGGACAGCAAGGGCATGTAGATGCATGTAGAGGCATGTAGAGACCAGCAGGAGCAAGCAGTAACACATAGTAATCGTTATACGTTGTCGGAAGTATGAGGAGAGGTCAGCAGCGGTCAGTAGGGGCCAGCAGAGGCCAGCAGAGGCATGTAGAGGCATGTAGGGGCATGTAGAGGCATGTAGAGACCAGCAGAAGCAAGCAGTAACACATAGTAATCGTTATACGTTGTCGGAAGTATCAGGAGTGGTCAGCAGCGGTCATCAAAGGCGAGCGGAGGCAGGCAGAGGCCAGCAGACATCAGCAGGGGCATGTAAAGACATGTAGAAGTATGTAGAGGCATGTAGAGACCAGCAGGAGCAAACAGTAACACGTAGTAATTGTTATACCTTGTCAGAAGTATTAGGAGTGGTCATTAGCGGTCATCAAAGGCGAGCGGAGGCAGGCAGAGGCATGTAGAGGCATGTAGGGGCATGTAGGGGCATGTAGAGGCATGTAGAGACCAGCAGAAGCAAGCAGTAACACATAGTAATCTTTATACGTTGTCGGAAATATCAGGAGTGGTCAGCAGCGGTCATCAAAGGCGAGCGGAAGCAAGCAGAGGCCAGCAGACATCAGCAGGGGCATGTAAAGACATGTAGAAGTTTGTAGAGGCATGTAGAGACCAGCAGGAGCAAGCAGTAACACATAGTAATCGTTATACGTTGTCGGAAGTATGAGAAGTGGTTAGCAGCGGTCAGTAGGGGCCAGCAGAGGCCAGCAGAGGCATGTAGAGGCATGTAGGGGCATGTAGGGGCATGCAGGGGCATGTAGCGACCAGCAGAAGCAAGCAGTAATACATAGTAATCGTTATAAGTTGTCGGAAGTATGAAGAGTGGTCAGCAGTGGTCAGCAGGGGGCAGCAGGGGTCAGCAAGGGACAGCAAGGGCATGTAGATGCATGTAGAGGCATGTAGAAGTATGTAGAGGCATGTAGAGACGAGCAGGAGCAAGCAGTAACACATAGTAATCGTTATACGTTGTCAGAAGTATTAGGGGTGGTCAGCAGCGGTCAGCAGAGGCCAGTGGACGCCAGCAGTGGCAAGCAGTGGCAAGCAGAGACCAGCAGGGGCAATTAATAGCAAGTTGTAATCGTCATACGTTGTCAGAAGTGTGAGGAATGGTCAGTAGCGGTCAGGAAATGCCGGCGGAGGCAGGCAGAATTCAGTAGTAATCGTTATACGTCGTCAGAAATATAAGCGGAGGTCAGGAGAGGCCAACAGAAGCTGGGCAGTCGAGACTTGGAATTGTATGCCGTCGACGTGAGGTTGAATATTAGTTGTTCAAGTGCCAGAAGGCAAACGAGCCTCTCTCGACTCCCATGAGACGTTCCGAAATTACTTCGGGCATGTTCGGAGAATCGAGAAAGAGGGCGTGCGTCAGTTTGCCTTTGTCGACTGTCCGAAACTCCACTAGCTCACGTACGCGTATCTGGCATGGTGAGTTTGCACCCGACGGTGCTTTTCTGGCATCACTGGTGCGAGCCAGAGCGAGCCGCCATGTCTAAAGTTTACTCGAGATTTAATTCCTGATGCATTTGCGAATGTCATAACCAGAACATACTGTGCAATGTATGGAATTCTTGTATCCTTTAAAAGTGATAAATATTTTTATTTAAGAACGATGATTATGATAGACATATCATAAAGATATATTTCCTTTTCCCAGGACATTACTTTTTGTGCAACCGAATCCGAGTATTTCGAGCAATCGATATCTGTATCGATAGTAGGTAATTTAAAATGTAGCGTACACGTGTGGTGTTTGTGGCTTGCAATTTATATAAAATACATAAAGCTAACTAATAACAGAAGATCTACGATGGCTGATATCAGTGTAAACGAAGATGCTCGACAAGTGCAAATAAGATTTCTTACTAAGCAAGAACAGTAAGTGTTTCGTTGTTTCTTCCGATACGCTGTATAAGGTTAATTTATTTTGCTATATGCACATAGTATTCCATAAAATACTTTACTTCATATATTATAGACCATGTGTTATACACGAAATCGTAACATATACATATGTTGAAGCTATACTTTAAATTTTAGATATGCAGTCGCAGATTTTCCATTATCTGTACATACGAGTATTGTACCAAACGAATTAAATACGCTTGTAAATGAACTTTTAAAAGGTATGAAATCGTTTAATCGATAAACTTTAATCGTATATATATATCGATTAAAAAAATTACATGTTTTTATTCCAGAGTCTAGCAGTATAACAAATAGAATAGAATTTGATTTTTTGGTATTTTCCCAATTTCTACGTACCTCGTTATCTGAGCACATAGCTGAGAGGAATGCTTCGACGGAGGAAGTAATAAATGTTGAATATGTCGAGAAATATCCACCGCCAGAACCTCAGGATTGTCTCATACACGACGATTGGGTATCCGCTGTTGCTGTTTGCGAGAAATGGTTATTCTTTATTACATTTGTTGGGAGTACTTGTATCAAAATCTTTCAGAATATTATTTTATTTATACTAAGTAAAGCGTTTAATAGGATACTAACTGGTTGCTATGACAATACTCTACATATCTGGACAACAAGAGGGAAACATCATCTTGTAATTCCTGGTCATACGTCACCCGTTAAAGCAGTAGCATGGATATCTATGAACGGTGATACTGCCAGTTTTGTTAGGTACTCCTCAAAACCATTGGCAATAAAGTATAGTCTTTAGAATACTAAATGTATCATTTTGAAACGTACAGTGCATCTCAAGATCAAACGGCTATAATATGGGACTGGAATATCGCAGAAAATTCTGTAGACTGCATACATGTATGCAGAGGACACGAACGCGGGCTCGAAGCTGTTAGCGTTAATTATGATAAATCGTTGATTGCGACCGGAGCTTGGGATACAATGCTCAAAATTTGGTCTACTTGTAAGTAGCCAATAGCTTCTGTAATTCATTAAAAAACTAATGAAAATAATGTTTCGTTCTCATCGATTTTCCTAGCTGCCGAAGATGAGAACGAGGACGGTGAATCCACCTCGAAGAGATTGAAGTCTGAACATGGTAGAACAAGAGTAAGCACGATAGATAGACGCATACCGATAGAAAATAGGAGTTTAACGCGATAATTTACCTCAACGTGTATGCTTGTATCGCATAGGTACCCAGAAGAACAATGAAAGGTCACAAAGAAGCTATTAGCGGTATAGTATGGTCGGATAGAACAGAAATTATAACATCCTCGTGGGACCATACGATGAAAGTATGGGATTCGGAGTTAGGAGGAATCAAACATGAACTCGCTGGTAATAAAAGTTTCTTCGACATCGATTATTCTCCGTTGTGCCGCGCCATTGTAGCAGCGTCCGCTGATAGGCACATCCGACTATACGATCCAAGATCTACAGGTGTCGATCATAATATAATTTATAAAATTATTAATCGTTATGAGTTCTATAATAATTGTAATTCTTTTTAGAGGGGTCCCTTGTAAAAACACTGTTCACTTCTCATACGCAATGGGTACAGTCTGTAAGATGGTCAGTTGTGGACGAAAATCTTTTTATTTCAGGAGCGTATGATAATGATATGAAACTGTGGGATACCAGAAGGTTAGTTATTGATTAAGTTATTCGATAATATTTACATAGGCTTTGTTCTTTAAATCGAGTGCCTTTTTTCAGCCCAAAAGCACCATTGTTCGACCTTTCCGGGCACGAGGACAAAGTATTATGTTGCAACTGGTCCAATCCCAAATTCATGGTGTCCGGGGGCGCCGATAACACTGTAAGAATATTTAAGTCAAAACATGTTAGCGACAAATGAACGGCTTGTAATTCTAAAATACAACAGAGAAAGAAAGTCCTCGCCAGACAGTGAAAATTACTAAGAATAAGATTTTCTTTTATTATTTTAATATTTATTATATTCTAAATCAAACAAATGTAACCCGTCTAAATGAAATAGAGTTCCGTGTGTCGCTGTCGTGAAACGTATCGACCATGAAACAATATGTATTTCACAGTGAAACAATAGAAAACGTACGGTCCCGTTCTCTCGTTTGCAACATATTCGAAATAAACGTGAATGGAAATCAAAATTATGTATACAAGTAATTACAACTATTTTTCGTACAAATAAACGGATTCAGAAAGATCAAAAACTAAACGTGTCACCGAGCAAAGAGTCTCTCGTGGCTCAAGAAAAAGCTCATCGGCGTAAAATCAAAAATTCGCACTTTTATTTCAATGAAATCTTTTTTTTTTTCTTTTTGCAATGTGTCAGCTTTTAATTTACCCTCGTATTTTACATCATTATAAAATCACCACTTAATTGACAAAACAGGAGATCTAGTAATCGTTCGTACATTGCCAGCACCTCGTTGTTGCATCCAAATGAATTTCGAATTGTTTTTTATTGCGCAGAAATCAAAGTCGGGCGTTTACCCAAAATAGTACAAATCGCATCAGCGTAAGACGTTAAGAGTTACCGAGAAAGAATTCATTAGGTTCTAACGTAGTGCCAGAATCGAGCATGGCATGTTAATTCTCCATGGTCAATGTGTATCGCAAAAACAATTCTATCGTCGGTTATAATAGAGGCGAACGCTGGATGTATTACACAATACGTTAGGATAATGTGGGGGGCTTATGATTTTAACATTACTTACAAAGGACAATATCGTTCAGTCTATTGCAGATGCCGTACTGCTACACAGTAGTATACACAATAGTATAATTTCGTTCAACCGATGCCTATTGGAGAAGAACGTGTATTTAAGAAAAAAAAAAGAATTCTTTTCTCTCATTTAACTGGTTAAGCTCTCTTTCAGTTCTAAAGGATACCAAAAAATGTGTCAGCGACTTATTTTTCGTTTGAGAAAGGCATATACAATAGTCTCTAGTTGATTCGACAGAAGGCATATTCAGTGTGGAGTATGTGTAAATACAGTCACTGATATTTGTACGAGAGTAAGGTTTTTATTTTACAGACTTTACATTTCGTTTGTTGCAATTCTTGCGGATGTTTGCTACGTTGGAGACAGAAAACCAAAAAAAATGTTACGAGAAATCGAAAACAGTAGACCAAAGGCGTGTGTGAGAAAGAAAACATCGTGTGTGTGTATTTGGGGATTCACTCTCTGTACACGGAAAACGATGATGTAGCGATTGTCGCTGGACCACGTCGAAACTCAGGAAAGGAAAAAAAATGATTCGAATAAATCCCCAAAACAGATCGTTTATTGATCAAAAATAAGGGATGATAATAATTAAGAATTTGATTCTTTCACTTTGAAATATACCAAACCATACTTGTAAGTAACTCTAAAACTGTTCGGTGCACGCTCTGATACAAAGTGTAGAGTGACGTTTAGAGCGTGCACACGCAGTGTGCAGTTTACAGTAACAGTGTGTCTGCAGTCTGTGTCGTGTAATAGGCAGATGGTTTTTAAAGTACGCATTATAAATTATGCATACACCTACACACCACATGCTCGGTCTCGCACTTTCTCTCTCGCTCTCGCGTTCTCGCATTGTAATCATCACTTTCTCACGTTCTCTTTCGCTCTATCTATCTCTCTCTCTCTCTCTCCCTTTCTCTCTTTTTGTTGTCTGTTTTCGTTTGCACTTTTTTCAATTTTTTTTCCGTTTTTATTTTTTAGAAGACCCTATCTAACCCCCACATTATCTCACACAAAGACTAGCGTTTTTAAACGATCCAAAATAAACTAAGGGCACTTTTAGTGGCGTATGCCCTGTTCTTATTTCGAGTTTCATGAAAAATCTAATTCTGACCGTTGTTAAACTTTGTTTTTATTACAGCACCTATCGACTTCTAAGAGTCCCTATCTTAACTAGCTATGACACACTTGCCTTAATCTAGAATTTCATTACGTGCTATGCCTCGCCATCTTAAAGTATCCGAACCTAGTTTTTTTTTTCTTTTCATTCTTCATTTTTCTTAAATCGATCCTCGTATGGATGCGAACTGTGTAACCGCCGCGATGCCCTCGGCATCGTTTCATTTCTTTCTCTCGTTTGCTCTCGAGAACCCCTTTTGTTTTCGTGTTCTCATTGGTCGCACACCGCATAACAATATCATGGAGAGTAGAAACAGAAATATTAAGCAGACGGTATGGTATTGTTTTGGAGAATTACATGTTTTCGTCTCGCCTTGCGACGCGAAAAGTATTCGAACGCGACAAAGACAGTAAACACAGGATCAAGAAACGAAGAGGGATTAAGGGGGGATCAGATCGTAGAAGGAAGAGAGAGGGGTGGGTGATAGTGTAGAAGTTAGAAAAAGAAGGGGCAATGGAAAAACGTTTCTCGTTACAGCTAAAACTATCGCTTAACAATGTAAAACAATGACTTAAAAACACGATGAACCTAAGAGACTGTACAAGTCGAAGTACGATGATGCGTCGCGACACCATCGAGTCAACTCGGACTCGCTTCGCTTAAGCCGATACTCGACTAATGTTTATTTTTTTTACTTAAAAAACACCCTACGTTTTTTTCTTTTTATTCTCATCTTTCTACATTCAGCCTACAACTACGTGTGATTCTAATCTAAAAGAGGCTACGCTAGAATTCTAGAGAAAGCTTACGGAAAGCAGCATTGCTTGGAAAACGATGTTCCAAATGGTTTTTCGTAAACCACACCCGGCCAGCCCAAGCACCCGACCCGCGGTGCGCAGCAAGCAGTCCTTACTATTATATTACAGTAGATAATATGTTGTAGAATAATATATATTTATTAATATGAATAGCCAGTCAGTCTTGACGGGTGCGAGGTGCATAGGCTGAACGGTGCCTCGCCTAATGTGTTCAACATGGAGAGGCAGTTGTATCCTAACTATCAGCTAACTATCTACCTAAACTTAATCACTTAATCGATTACTTCCTATCCAAAATGGTGCCTAGCCTATTCATAGTCAACACTAACTACACAACGTCTCGCTGTGTTTTTCTCTTCACGTTCTATACAATAGTTGCGCGCTCGTTCGTCTCACTTTCACTCGTTTTCCCCCTTTACCCCCTCTCAGCCTTTCCTCACGCTTTCTTTTTTAAATCCCTTTCACTCTCGCTTTCATTCGCCCGCTATCTTTCTTCGTTCCTTTCGCACGTTATCCCTTGCACTCTGATTTTTCCTGTTTCTCTCTCTCTCTCTCTTTCTTTTTTAAACTCCTCCCTGCCCCGCTCTCCAGTGCGGCTCCGTATCTGCGGGAGCTGGCGTTTATTTTTTTTTTTTTTCATTTTTTTTTTCTTTCTTTTGTCGGCCGAACCATCCGTTCTTCCGCTCGGTCAGCACTAAATGCTGCTCTTTGTTTGGTCGTCACAATAATAATTAGTTATTTAGTACAAGTCTATTAGTAAAATTCTTCAAAATTCACTATATAATCACATGTGATTTTTTGTTGTCAGTCGTGGTGACAATCGCTTGTGCAACAATTTACACACTCGCAAATAGGTTCTCCCTTTCGTCCCTCTATCTTTCTCTTTCGCTCTCATTTTTTATCTCTCCCTTAATGCGTGGACTCAAATCGAGTAATAATCGGTCTCTTAAAAAATAGCTCATACCACTTTTTTCATCTTTTATCTCTTGTCATCAAATCGTGATGTACCAAAATAAACTAAATATATTATTTACTTCAAGTCTCAACAGTGTAAAAATCTTTCATACTTTAGATGACGTCAATAATAGTAATCGTTAATTATAATAATACAGCATATTATTGTAATATTATAATAATAGCTACGATCGCCTCTAACTCTATCTAACTACCTGCTCACCCACTTCGAGCCCGGAGCTCGCAATATTTGGTAGAAAGCTTTCTGCTAATCGTCCTTTCTCGACTCGATCTAAGTCAGACAACGTGAAAACTGTGCCGGATAGTAAAAAAACGGGCTTAGAGGAACGCAGGAGAGGAGGGTGTCCCTTTTTTTCCTTCTTCTTCTTCTTCTTCTTCTTCTTCTTCTTCTTCTTCTTCTTCTTCTTCTTCTATTTTTTTTCGTCGAGATACCGCGCAGATTGAAAATCCTCGACTTTTATCTTTCTTTTCGTTTTGTTCCTTCGCGTTCGATCCTCTCGCTTACCGTTCTCCTCCAGTCCCATTATCCTCGTTCATTTAGTAACGCGTTATTCGTTTGTTCGATATAATAAATTAATTTACACTCTATCTATCGTATCCCGTCGTAACAAGCCTACTGTCTCTCTTCTTCGGGCGGTGTGAAGTATATCTCGGTTTACAAAGATCCGCCGTTTGATTTCTTTTTGTTCCTAGACTCCGCACGGACCGTACGGTTGTTTCGGCCCGTCAATCCCATTAGTGGCAACTATACACATACAAAATCTATTCGAATTCGTAACCAAAAAACAAACGCAGTGATATTAACTGGCTACAACGCAAAAACAATTATATTCTCTTAACTAGAAGATCAAAATTTGGCTCAAGTTTCGCATTTACATACAGACGTAAAAATATATTATAATATTTTTCAGCATATCCATTGTCTAGCGGATTTGTCTGAAAAGGCACAATTCTAAAAAAAATATCTGTATTCACTGTACAATTAAAACTGATATCGATTCGTAGTAACTGTACTCATAAATATAAATCCTCTAAAAAGTACTATGTTCCTTTCGTTCTTGTTACAATAATTACATATATCTTGAAGTTCTTCATTTAGAAATAAAGCTTTCCTTCGTATTTTTTTTTTTTTTTCTTTTCAAATCTTCGCTTTCTTTTCATCCATAAAATATATTCGGTCCGTGATTAAAATGAGAACGCGAACTGTACTTGTAAAAGTAGATAAAAATCTCCGCGTGGCAATACATACATACAATATATGTGCCTAGCTTGGAATGTCTGAACGAAACAGAAGAAAACAAAAAGAAACAATGTGATGAGAGTGCAGTTTGTGGATGGGGTGGTGTGTGCTGTTAAGGAAGAGTTTTTTCTTCAGCATCTTTGCGAGAAAAGAACACTGGTCAATGCCTCTTCTTTTGCAGCCCAGCCACCGGCCAGCCAGCTGGCACGAGTCCGGTAGGTATTGATTACAATCAACTGAATCTGAATGTACTTTATCAACTCTAGCATTGGAAGTGCTTTTTCTCTGTATATTATTATATTATTTCTTGGGAAGAATTCTCCTTTGTATATTTCTGAGCAGCGTTTCTTTTATAGTTTACAGTTTTTGTTAAAATATTTATTCACACTCTCAAGCGTTCAGCTTCGACTTATCGTCTCCTTAGTAAATGTAATACCTAAAGTTAATCCTGGAAGCCTATCAGCTTGACACTAAACTGTCCGTCGCAGAATATCAATTTTGTCACTGTCGTAATGATTTGTTGGCGTTACAGCGTATGGAGCCGTGCTGGTGCCGAACAATGTAGATGACACGAGCACTCGTACCCCTTCTTATGACAACATTCACTCTCTAATCGTTGGAAAATATTAACTACTTTCACCTATTTATCTGGTGGATAAAATGTATAAAAGATGGCTGGCAAGTCAATTATCATGAGGAAGAATCTTATCTGACTTTATGTAATGTATTTAGTCTCATCTATTCTTCATTAATATAATCCTTCGTGTATCAACAGGTGTGGCTCTCCTAACTTACATAACCCTCGGTGTAATCGTATCTGAAATATCACAATTACAATATTTATGAATAAACATATACATTTTGTATCGCAATAGTTATTAATTCACACGATATGTTAAAAACATTTTTGTATTTATTTAAAGAAAAAAAATACATGAGCCGTTCATTATGAAACTGGTGTAAGTCCATTTTATAAAAAAAAAAAAAAAAAAATAGACTTTCTCCATACAATGTTTAAAAAATATATTGAATTTTTCTACGAAGAAATTAGAAACATCCTAATATATAATAATTGAATTAGAACTGTTAAAAAATATTGTGTATACCTAAAAACCGTAGCCTACTTAGGCTGCTGAGCTTGGTATTGTTGATAGGAGTCATCAGGAGATGCGGCGTTACTTGTCTGTTCAGAATCACCCAATGGCATGGTGTGAATAATGCTAGGAGGGTAAGTATAAGGATAGGGATGCGGACTTGCTGCTATGTACTGCAAAACGAAATGTTAGAGTAAATAATAATTGAAACCCACAATATCGTAAAGAACGAGGATGCAAAACTTACGGAACCAGTGCCAAGATGCAATGTAGACATTTGTGTAGTAAGCTGAGGAATCATACTGTACTGTGGGTTGCTAGGATCAGCTGATGGCATCATCTGTAACATAAAGTACATATTAAATTCAAAAGTTCGCATATTTGTATTATTTCATCGGTATTATAGTACTGTAACGCACAACAAAATTTTAAAGTACACTCGACCTCTATAACTCGAAACTTTTTTAAGTAAAATATACATTTTAATAAAATAGGTATGTACAGGAAAACGTTAAAAGGATAATACACAAGCAGTACAAAGTGTAGACAAACAAAACAACAAAAAATTTGTATAAAAACTCACGTCAACCTGCTGCATGTGTGGAGGGGCAGTCTGCACCAAATAAGGAGTAACCCAAGGGGTTCCTGGTACACTGTAACCAGGTAAAGCTTGGCCATAATGACGACTATATTGTGTTAAAGTGGCTGCAGGTAGCATGTGAGTAGTTGCAACCCCGTTTTGACCAACGCCGCTTGTATCGTAATTTAAACTCATGTTCTGTGAAAAATGAATGTAACAATCGTTAAAAATCTCGCTCGTATTTTAATGTATACTGTAACAAGACTAATCACCTCTCCAGTTTCTCTCCATATTGTACTTTTGTATAATGATTTTTTCTTATTACCGCCATCAGCAAATTTCACCAATAGAGGATCTTTAGCTCCTTGTAGTGCCTTTCCATTAAACATCTGGATTATCTGTTCACATTTTTCTTTGGACTCCATCCTGAAGTAAAATTACAAGTAACTTGAGATTATAAAAAATTATAAGTATATCAATATTTATTAACAATGCTCTTTGCAATGTTAATAGTTTGTAAGAAATACGAATAGTGCTGACCTTGCAAATCCAACACCTTTACTTTGTCCAGCAGTATCGCGTAATATACGCGTTGAAATAACTTGCCCGTATTGAGCGAGTAAACCTTCAACGTCATTCTCTTTGAAGCTCAATGGTAGGTTTGCAATATACAAATTGGTGGGGTCCTGCTCCTGTTGCTGAGAAGAGAGTAAAAATACTATGCAACTTATTGTAGTACACTCCTCAACGTGTATATATGTATAAATTTTAAAAAAAGTTTCATATCTATCATTTTAACATTCATAACTGAGATATATGTATATTATATATTATATATATATATGTATATATAATATTTGTATATTCCTGTATAGCTATGAGTGCACAGACGAAATCACTGCTATGATGAAATTACTAACTGCTACAAGTGTATTATACTTCGTATACATCTTACGTTTAAATACTAATTATAGTCCGTAATTTGTTATAAATTCATTTCGAATGTTAAAATGATAACTCAAAATTAAATTTTATATCAATGCAATAATGCAAGAAATTTCGAAAAATAAAAATTCACATATTATTTAAAACAAATCTTTCACGTATAATTTATTAATTTGTTCCTTTTATCAAAGAATACATAAATCTACGAGATACTACTAAAAAGACCAATAAACTATAACAATTATTTCGATCTAATTTTGAGTATACCAATGGACAAGTATTGAAAAGGACTGATTATTTTCAAGATGATTATTTTTTTTTAATATTGAGAGGTTATCATGCTTCAGGGCATTACATTACCACATTCTGGTGGTTCTCCAAATTTGCTTTATGGATGCTTGTAATTAAATTCAATTTTAAATATATCCTGCATTTATGTGCAAAGCATGCTCACACGCTAAATACATTGTGTTTTTTTTTTTGTGGAAAATTTTTTTTTTTTTTGTGATACATAGGTATTAATTAATATTAACTATCTATGCGTGCCTAAAGCATTCACTGTTTAACAATACATGTTAATGATTCAAGAATGCAATGGATTATCAAATAAGTAATGAACCTACATATATAATAAGTCAAAGTAGTGAATATCGCCTGTGCAATCATTTTTTTTATTCGACGCGAGTAATAAAATCATAGATATATTTTAAAGTATGAGAAAACTCGTTAAATTCCTTCTGTCATTAAATGATATTTAATAGTATTGTTACGAGTAAAATATGTCATTTATCTTATGAAAATAGTTCTTGTTAAAACAACTTTGTTCACAATTCTGTTTACTTGTATTGTTTCTCTACAATTCTCAATAAGGTTTATCTTGACAACCATATATGCTTACATCACAAATAACGAGTATGTAATGCAACCCAACTAATCACTTCTTACTAGACAATATCAAGAATAACCATTCAAAGCAGTAATATAATTCCAATCACATATGACACGTTGTTGGAGACAAGCATGGTAAAAAGCACAGGCATGTTCACATATATACAGTTACATCATGAGACAGAAATGAAAGTGAGCCAAATTATCTCACAATATTGCAGAAAACACATTGTATATAAGATATATGCACATACATATACATGTGTTCATGCTTAAGTTTTCTTTGCTTATAATTTTCATACACAGAGAACAAAAAGGAAAAGATATATGTACATTAAACTTAACTCTAACTTGAATTCAATATTTATGCACCCTCAAGCATATTTTGAGATCCACCATTTCTCTCAAAAATCAATCAACTCTACAGTTACTTGAATATACTTATACTTTACGACAATTTACTTCAATCTTGCGAATGCATTAAAACAAAAAAGTAAATAATGAAAATATTATGATATAAGCCAAGCCAATGGCATTATATATGTATATATATATTTATAAAAATATTATATACACATGTACACATATATGTATCCATATAAATACGTATACATATATGTACGATAAATCATAATATATCTTAATGAATTTATATCTCAATAAAATGATTTACATCTTGATCAAGTGCGAATGTGTATAAAGGATTTTTACATAAGATATGCATATTCTCTATGCATTGTACATGGCTGTGTACATTACAAGAATTGTAAAGTATAATATCAAATGAAATCTTTTATTGTAGTTTCTTTTTTCTACAACTACAATGCTAATCAACTGCATAAATTGAAACTTTCAGAAATTCCCAAATACACATCCAAATTTGCTTGGTGTGCTGGTTAAACTTTATTATTTAAGCCAAGTGTGTCAATCAGAGCCAACCAACACCCCAGGAGTAAGATAGCACCTGATCTTCACATAGCACCACTAATTGGTAAGTAAGTACCGTGTACCCTGAGCACAGTTAATGACGGGTACATCATTTAGTTGTATCATATCACATGCGACTGACATCATCACAGCTGCTGATGGCACCCCGTGCTTTTACCGCGGCCAGATTAGAAGAACCATTCCAAGTTAGTTTTCTTTGGGGCAATGAATATAGGCAAGAGCCAATACATTTTCTTTTGGCAATGTGCGTATGTAGGTAAAAAAAAAAATGTCAACACGATTCGAAACATATATGTATATATGTAAGCCATCTTTCTCTGATATTTACGTACCACTGAACAGAATAGAAAATTTGTAACGTTTGACAAATCGTACTATATTATATCTGTAATAGAATATCATATATATTGAGTCTATAAGTTTCTTGTCACATTGTAAATGAATTTATCTTGGTGAAATATCTTAAGAATTTTGGAATTTCCGTAATACGACAGCTATTAATTCTTTTACTTGGGACATAGACACAGACAACTTGAGCACATTAGATGTTTGCTAAAGGCTTGAATTAGTGCTGAAATAAATGCAATTTTCGGACATGAATTATAAATGTGTTGACACAGCAGTATCAGCAATTTGTGGCCGAGATACAGCAACAAGCATCAATAGTTTGGTAGGTATATAAGACAGAATGATAGATAGAACTGGTGAATACTAGAGATTTTCAGACAAGTGAGATAGGTTCCAATAGGGAGGTCTTTCTTTTTACTGTTTCTCTTACTTTAAATCGTGCATAATTGCCTGCTACTATATTTTCACCGACAGTAAAACATTATCTTTGTGTACTATAGTACATTTAATATGAATATTTATAGTATCAGTTTACTCGAAATATCATTGTCATTTTTTATCAGTTACCAATGAAAATATAGTTTGAATTTCGTGTCACCCCTCTAGTAGCAGCACTCTTATCTATTTAAAAAGTATTCCTTTTTTTAATTATTCTTTTTATATTATTAGTTGTTAGCCTTTCTCACTTGTCGATATATTTAAATACTTTTAATATTTTTTTAAAAATATTCTTTACAAAACTTGTAATCTTGCTTTAATTTGACATTGCTATACTAAAAACAGTTTTCCTACATAACGCAACAATTATGAAATACTAAATAGTTCTTGTCAAGATATAAATTCTAAGCATGTCTAGAGGGGCTGAGAGCAGAGCAATGATGCCAAGGAGATGATGCCATGCTTGTCTTTTGATAACTGTAATGGAATTGGATAACTTAATCATTTGTTTAAAACACTTTATACTTTCTTTACACTAAAAAAAATTATACATTCAAGCTAATATGTAATGGAATAACGTGAAAGAAATTGTTTATTATTTTCAACGACAATGTGATAATTCAATAGAAATTTGATATCTTTGTTTCGTTATTTAAGTAAACTTCATGATAGTTCATAATATTTTATAATAAAAAAAAAACTGTAAATTGCCATTACCATTATACTTGAAATTTATTAAATGTATATGTAGAAGATTTAAACAAGATGTCTTGAAAATCAATATTTGCGAATTGCAAATGATTCTTAAAAGACGACCATGGCATCTACATTGTGATTAAAATATCAGTACTTTCTTATACAACTTTATATGATAAGTAATGTGTCAAAGTACTGTGTATACATATTTGTCACAGAAGTACTGGAACAAGAATTTTTCTCAAATTAATGGCATTTAAAAGTTATGTATCGATTGGGAGTGTAAAAGGTACATGAAAATATGCAAAACAGGGGGATCACAGATGGACACAGAATAGGGTAATAGACTGAAGAAAATAAAAACAACGAAGATAGAAACAGAAAATGAAAGAAGATGAAGAGAGAAGGGGAGAAGACAGAAATAAAGGAAGAAAAGTAAGAAAAAGAGAAGAAAGGTTTACTGTTACTCTGGTATTACTGTACTTGCATGCACAACCAACGTACACTGGGCAGTCTACGGAGCAACCAGATACCCACTTTCGCCATCTGCGCTTGGATGCCCTTGGCGACCAGTGCTTTCACAGCACCCTCTGCCGCCACTGGTGACTCAAAGTCTACAAATCCATAACCTGCAACACGCAATTACAGTATAAATTAATATCATTAAATGCTATACAAGTTTTTATGCTATATTTCATAAAGATGACAATTATTTACACCTCATGAAACAAAAATATAGTATAAAATTTAACGAAGTACCTTTACATTTATTCGTGTTTTTATCCAAAATTGCCTTCGTAGAAGTAATAGTTCCATATCTGCAAAAACACAATGTATTAGAAACAGTACATTTAATTGCATCAAGTATCAATGTCTACTAAGTATACATTTGAAAATACAATTATACGAGCAAACTATTTTGCGTAACTATTAAGTCATCACACCAACATCTAGAATATTGGTGTTACACGAGTGACTTACTGAGAACACATGTTTACGAGGTCCTTGTCAGTTGTATTTTGGTTGAGGCCACGGATATATAAATTTGTTTTTGATAGTTGTTCTGCTTGTTGTCCTTGTATAACATTATTGCTAAGACTTGTGCTCATTGTCCCGCTTTGACTGCCAGTAGCACTGCTACAACTACTATTAGTGTTAGCTGGAGAGGAGGCCGTTGGCACCCGTTGTCCACCATACTGTAATGCATTCAAAAAGGGATAATGTATAAGTTTGAAATAATATTTTAAGTCAACGATAATATACTGATAAGCATAATAGCTACTGTACTAATTACTCAACCAAGAGTAATGTGAATATTATAAGATAAAGGAGATTGAATTTGCACTCACAATACATTACTTAATTTCAAATATGTAATTTAAACACATGTGCACTAATTATTTATGAAATAACACAATACACAATTTAAATTTAGGGATGACAATAATTATAGCTTGTATCGTAATTAACGTTATCTCGTAGAAAAAGATATACGGTAAAAACTTTTTAAGATAGAGTACATCAATCGTGCTTCACAAAATGTTTGAAGTTATTGTAGCCCCACCCGGCACGAGGAGGGATTAAGATCATGACATAAACACGCGATCATTTTTGTATTTGTTTCTTATTCTCTGTATCACCCCACACCATCGAAGTACGACTTCATCTTCGTAATGATTTTCTGACCTGTCTACAATAATCTATCCTCTGCAATTTGTACCGGTTGATTCGAAAAACAAGACACATAACCAAACGGTACCGCGTAGGGAACATACATATTTCGAAGGATCAATCAACTAGCCTCATTAAGAATCGAGGAGAGTGAGAATCTTCCGCGAAAGACTCGGTGAAAGAACGTTGAAAAGATCGCGCATCGTTCATGCGAGAACAGTATGCCGCGTTGTCATGGCCCCACCCGGTTCACGAAGAAGGGGTTAACCCTTTCGCTGCGCAAAATCTAACAAACTTTTGCACTGGTTGCGCGCGCGTTTCCATCAGAATTATAAATATTCCAAGTATCTGGTTTGCGTTTAAAACAAAAGGTGAGGTTTCCTTAATTACACGGAACGCAACAAGAATGTATAACGATTGTTCAGACGTACATAATGATTTAGTCTACATTGTACTCATTTTTTTATAGGCAGGCTAAAATAGTGCGTGCTAACTGTTTATGTAATACGACTGCGTTTACACACGAACGACGCAACGTTTAAATTAACCGTATCAAGTTTATAAGAAGTATGTTTGACGTGCCTACAATAGGAGGATACGGTCCTCGAATATTTCTAATACGCGATATATGGCTCCTATCATGGCAAAGTCCGGTTCCAGTGCTATAGCTCATTCCTTCAATCGTACATCGATTTTCAATGAAAGGTGTAATGTACAGAGACTTTCAGGACTTGATAAGTCAAAATCGATTTAACATGAATGCCGCGGTGGATACGGGCGTTCGCCACCTAGCCTTACGTTCAAACCGCGATCACCGGTAACCGACACTTCGGCTGCATACTAAATTCGCGTTGTTCGGTAAACATCTATGAAACTTACACGGTATACACTTCATTTCAAACATAGTATAGAAAGTTCGCAGCGTTTGACAGTTCGCAGTGTTCCCTGTCGGACACTTGTCAGTGGGATTCCCCCATTAGCCCTGTGTATCCGTTCCAGAGGTAATGATGTTTGAGATTATCGGATACGGTTATAGGTGGGTGGGTGGGGGGGCAGATAAAAAGAGAAGACTTACCGACGTGTGCTGTGCGTAGGTGGCGGAGGCGTAAGGATTTGCCGTAGGCGGTAGTTGCTGTGCTCCAACGGGCATCTGGCCGGCCGCCGCAGCTGCGGCTGCTGCGCTTGGATACCGCGTGTACGACGGATAGGCAGCCGCGGCCGCAGCAGCAGCCGCGTGAGAGGGCGGCACTGTGCCCCAAGCCGCGGCACCGCTCGCACGATACTGCACGGGGTTCCCGCCTCGTGGCCCGCCGCCGGTGTTCCCCTTCAATCCGTGCCCGCCTCCTCCGCCGCCGCCACCACCACCACCGCCGCCGCCGCCACTCGCTGGACCCACTCCGACGCCGCCGCCGCCGCCGCCGCCTCCACCGCCGCCACCGCCGCCGCCCCCGGCGCCACCGGCGTTACCATTGTTTGCACCCACGTACGTCGGTCTTGGACCGTTCGTACCCTGAAATACAAAAGAAAGAAATACAGTGAATCCCCGGGAGTTATACAGATCCGTACATACGCCGTTACGCCTCCATTTACAGCGACCAACTCATAACACGGTGCGTAATTGCATTTGTACCGAATACTCATTACAAGGAATATGCTACAGCTCTGTGGAAAAATCGTTAAATTTATACTTCATGCATACATACGTGTACTTTAATACAAAGATAGAAATCTGCTAAAGTTCTCTGATCCGACTTCGCTATTCACCATCCGCTATCCGAGTATTAATCAAGTATCTGGATATTCGTGATATTTTAACAGCGTTATGTGGACAATATATAAAGTAATTTAGGACCCAACGGTGAGAGTTACATCCGATCTAATAGTACTGATATTATGTCGTGTATCAACGTTGATACTTTTTCACTTTATTGCTCATAAAACGGAGGGGTATCTGGTTACATCAAATTCCACTACAGTCACGATATCGTAGATAAATCCTTCTAGGTACCGTAAGTTGTACACTCTAAATATAGCACGAGAGCACAGAATGCAATAATCTTAATTGAAAGCGCAGTCATGCGAAGTACAACATTTCCCAGCGCAACGGAGTGGCAAAGACGTTGACGACGCATACAATTCGCGTAGAGGAATGATGAGCAACCGAGTGACAAGATAAACCGTATGAAAGCATTCTGGACGATTTATAGGTACGCGCTGGCTTCGGAACACCGAAGACAGGACAACGAGTACGCCAGTCGTGTACTAGCAATAAGAGAAAACCGTTCATTTGTATACTAACTACAATTCCTTGTGTACAATTTCTGAATAAAACGTCTATACCAGCGGATTTCCCTCTGCTACGTTACTTCGAGCGACGCAACAAAACTGAAGATTATTGTATCACGTCCCTAAATAATTCCGCGTGGAAATACGTGTACATGTAGGGTCTGGTAACGGGCAACGCTCGCCTTCCTAATTAGAGCCATTTGCAGAGCAAATTCGTGTCAGTTAATGTCTTTAGCAAACACATTACAGCGACTCTCGTAAGTCCGTGGCAGCAGCGAGCACAATCGGTTGGTCTGTTGCCAGTTAAATTTGTTCATAGGTAGATGCAAATAGGCCCTAATTGCGATGCACGGGTTCGAGTGCGTGGGAACTGGAAGGTTGTTCGAGATCGATCGTAAAAAATAAGTAAATCCAATGGTCCAATTGCAATTTAACAAACTTTGAATATTAAATATTTTTTAATATCTAGCATTTAACAATACAATATTAAAACACGATTATTGTAATTGAGATTTGTAATCGATCTAAAAGGAAGGTTCCAACTTGATGATTCTCGCAAATGTTACCACGCGTTTCGTACAATCGACGAATGAGATCGTTTAAGGTCGAAACGTTTAATCAAATGTTACGCTGCTCGTCCTACTAAGGCCGTCACTGAACTTCAGAGTTCATCGTTCCTGGGGTCGATTTAAAATGAACGAATTAATTTTAAAACAATCTAAATATCTTCCACTTTCTGTAGTCGGTATAATTAGACTAGTTGAATAAGGATAGAAAATGTGGTCTTGCGTATATACGCAAAATATTCTTCGGACAATATCGCTGGGGATGCTCGACGTTTATCGTGTTCTTCGTAGTTATTTTCGGAGATATATTCGCGTAGAAGCACACTCGTTGAAATTATGATGCGTATACGCGTATTACAGCTTTGCTCTTTATCTATCATGCTTGACCGCAACAGTAAAATATTAATAGAGGAAACAGATACGTTTTCGCTTCGCTGAAGTTCGTCGAAACGAGCTCAGTGCCCTATAACTTTTGATCGAGGGTGTACATTCAAAAGGTTATTACGATTACGGGTGCAACGATAAGATAATAGTTGTTTGTAAAAAGTTTCGCCCGGAGCTCGACGTTAATCTGATCAATTCACGTGGATATATTTGTTCTCAATAATGCATAAGTTCAGTCAGATTGGCCCCGAATGTCTCTGATAATCTTCCGGGCGTAAAAATTCTTCCTTTCTATCGATGTGTTTACCCGCGAGTAGTAAACATTGATCGCGTAATCTGGCCTGGTAATCTTTTGTTTATTTTCAATTCAAAATAAATAAAAAATTCACAAGTACGAGATAACATTTGGGACTGTTACACACGAGAATCCCACCCTCGTAGAAATTACAATTACGCGTAAAAAATATTCTGCCACGGTTCTCGAGCTAAAATTATTCCGTGATTTTAAGTTTCGCGCCGGTCGTCGTCGGCGAATGAAAACCGAATTTAAATATCGGAACCGATCCCTTTAATCTTTTTTTTTTTGTACAACGGAGAACACAAAGCTCGTAGAAGTTCGCGTAATGACGGAGTCGTGCCAGAAACGCGGTCTCGTTCGTGAAAAGTGGCGCGGTGGAAACTGTTCGCGGTGTCATCAGCGGGACGATTTTCTCGTCGGAATAATCAAAGGCTCGCGGGTAGAATTTTCTATGGGCGGTTGATTGCCCAGGCAACGCCAAAAATAAATCTACACGATCGCTTCCCTGTCGCAATCACGAAAGGACTTTCTCAGCTGGTTGCTACATCTGTCGTAACTGCAGGACAGGCCTTTCCAGGACTTTCGAGACCGTTGCATTCCACGCTCCTTTAGAAAGGCCTCTCTCGTCGATTTGCATTTTTGGCATAGTTGTGATAACACGGTTTACCGTTTCCAATGGAACGACAGAGACACGCAGAGAGGGGGGAAAAGAGAGAGAGAGGGGGGGTGGGGGAAGAGAGAGAGAGAGAGAGAGAGAAAGAAGGCAAAGTCGGCGGAGACCGACTGAAAGTCACGGTTGTAAATCACTTATCACGAAACTCGAACCTTGTCACTTCCTGCACTACTTACCAATCTCTCTCTTCCCTTTCGTCTTTACCGCCTTATTAACGAAGATCGGAGACAGATTAAAGCATCATCGACGCCGGGGAAAATCTCGTTTTCTCGATGTTTTTTAACAACACAATCGAAACGCGATTTCGTTCATTTGCATATTCTCCGATAAGTGGAGTTGTTCGAGGAGGGTGTGGTAATGGATCAAATCTATCGGAAACACGGACGTCAACAAACTCACGTGACGAATCCACTGCTTCCTACACTACTGGCTTCTATGTATCTAACAGGATATTGGTGTTTTTAAAAACATACTTATAATTGTTATCGATCAATTATATACATTATTGCGTTATTATCCTGTCTATTTTCCACTTATAACACAATATTGTATGTAATTTCCGATCTTTCCTTGTTTCCGTTAATGAGAGATTAACAGATCGATCTTACGTCACTTCCTCGAGCAATTAATGGCATGAATTATTGGAAGGGGTTCTATTAAATGTTGTACGCAGAGGATGATTTATGCATGACAGTGCAATGTCCCATTTCTGTCAAGTTGCCAGACGGTTATTGAACGAACGATTTTCTAACAGATAAATAGACCCTGCATGACCTGCTACCTGACCTGTTCGTTTCACGGATTTACATAAAACGAATTTTTCTTTTTTGAGGGGCAGACTGGGGCTACCTAAAAGCATTCTTGCTTTAAAAACTTTCAAATCATTCTTTGAAAAAACAAATACCCCCGAAATCCTACACACTTTCGAGAAAAAAATTCCGGAAGATGGACAATTTTTCGGCGAAATTGAAAAATTTCAAATCGTTCCAAAAAAATTATATTTAGTTACGGGGGTCGATTACAATCATTTTTGGTGATTAGACATACCCCCGTATTCCTACGCATTTTTGAGAAAAAAATTCCGGAAGGTGGACAAATTTTTCGGCGAAATTAAAAAATTTCAAATCGTTCCAAAAAAATTATATTTAGTTACGGGGGTCGATTACAATCATTTTTGGTGATTAGACATACCCCCGTATTCCTACGCATTTTTGAGAAAAAAATTCCGGAAGGTGGACAAATTTTTCGGCGAAATTAAAAAATTTCAAATCGTTCCAAAAAAATTATTTTCAGTTGTGGGGGTGGATTACAATCATTTTTGGTGAATAGACATACCCCCCAATTCCTACGCATTTTTGAGAAAAAAATTCCGGAAGGTGGACAATTTTTCGGCGAAATTATAAAATTTCAAATGGTTCTAAAAAAATTATATTTCGTTGCGGGGGTCGATTACAATCATTTTTGGTGATTAGATATACCCCCCAATTCCTACGCATTTTTGAGAAAAAAATTCCGAAAGGTGGTCAATTTTTCGGCGAAATTATAAAATTTCAAATGGTCCTAAAAAAATTATATTTAGTTACGGGGGTCGATTACAATCATTTTTGGTGATTAGACATACCCCCGTATTCCTAAGCATTTTCGAGAAAAAAATTCGGGAAGATGGACAATTTTTCGGCGAAATTATAAAATTTCAAATGGTTCTAAAAAAATTATATTTAGTTGCGGGGGTCGATTACAATTATTTTTGGTGATTAGATATACCCCCGTATTCCTACGCATTTTCGAGAAAAAAATTCCGGAAGATGGACAATTTTTCGGCGAAATTAAAAAATTTCAAATGACTCTAAAAAAATTATTTTCAGTTGCGGAGGTCGATTATAATCATTTTTGGTGAAGAGACATACCCCCGAAATCCTACACACTTTCGAGAAAAAAATTCCGGAAAATGGACAATTTTTCGACGAAATTAAAAAATTTCAAATGGTTCTAAAAAAATTATTTTCAGTTGCGGGGGTCGATTACAATCATTTTTGGTGATTAGATATACCCCCGAAATCCTAACCATTCTCGAGAAAAAAATTCCTTACCGAAAGTATAACGTGTGGTCAGAGATCTGTGATTACATATTCCTCGTTTTTACAGCTTTATATGCAAATATAGCCCAATTATCCATTATATTTGATTTTTCGGCATAACCCCAGTCCCGAGTATGCCGAATAATCGGAATTTTACTATAGTGCGTTACTGTAGCGGGTTGTACATGACCTTTTACCCTGGCTGAGTACAACTTTTTGGACTTT